CCGACAACCCGTCGGGGCGAATTTCGCACTGGGGTACTCAAAATTTGAAGAATTTAAGACGTTTCCATGAGTTTTGAAGGTATGGATAAGTTCTAAAAATCCGGTTCTCCTTATCCGGGTCATTAACTCCATATGGTCCAAGAAAGCTGGCACACTACCTTTAAAGTTACAGTGCCGCCCCTTACAATGTGGGTGGCGTCCTCAAAATAAAAGTGATGTTGCCCCCCCCCCCCCGAGTAATGTTGGCGTCTCTTCTTTAAGTATCAGAGGCGCTCCTCATTGTCAACTGCTCACATGGCGCCCTTCAATGTAATGGTGCCACCCCTCAACGCTCAAAGAGATAATTGCGCTCCTCACAGTGTCGGTGGTGTCCCTCAAAGTGGTTTAAGTGCCCTAAAAAAAAAAAAAATGGTGGCGCGCCTCAAAATGATGCTGCCGTCCCTTAGCATATCTGCAGCGCCCCCAAAATGATAGTGCCTTCCCTTAACCGGCGCCGGGCTGAGGTTGTTTGAGCCCCCCTCCCGACCCCTATAACTTGGCTACTTGGGCGACGTAGCGACACGCGGTAAGCGGCATTCGAAGGAGTGTCAAAACTACTTGGGTTAGTTGGTTAACCGTACTTTGGTTAGGTCAAGTCAAATGTCAAATATCAGGTGACCAGAGGTCATCAAAGGTGAAATGTGGGTGAAATGTTGTCTGTTTCAACATTTATTGACAAACTGGCGCATAACTCGGGGAAGAATAGAACTACAGCACCGCGAAAAAGCGCATTCGATAGCTCTTCAACGTTCCTATAAAGTCCTCAGACTTGACCTAACATCAACGACTTAACCTCCAGAGCACAACTTGTTTAACCCGTGTCGGGCGGGGAGGGTTAAAGGGGACAGTGGACCCCCTCCGCCCCTCTACTGAGCTGTTTTAATGAAGAACCTTTTTACTTTAATAATTATTGACTCACGAAAGTTATGACATCGTTTTCTTCAGTACTGCGCTCCTCTCGTCGAGATGCGTCGAATGAACTATAATTTGACATTCAAATGTCATTTGGGAAATTTGAGCTCAGGTCCAGGTCATGACCTGACGGGCCAAAGGTCATGTTGCATATCAGTCGATTTGTATCGTCAAACCGAAATCATCTAAGGTGTTTTCATCGCTCAGGCATATCGCATGTCTCTATCAGAAGTTATTGAAAAAAAAAACCTGCTGGAGGCCTACCAATCCATGACCTGACATGACCTCAAGGACATAACGAGGGGTCGTGGGTGGCATTTTTCCGATTAAGTTTGTCATTTTTAATTGTTTTCTGATGTTTAAATTCGTTAACTTTGACATTTGTCTACCTATAAAAAGAGGTACATGCCCCGACTTTCTCCCATTTCCTTAGGTATACCTAATGGAAGGGTCGCAAAATTGTCCTTACCTTTGGTCAAAGACATCGCAATTTCGAGACTTACATTTTATGTACTTACAGTGACACACTGTTTGTCTTATCAATCGCTGAAGTTATAAAGGGATCGTTCAGTCGGTATATCTATGGTGAGCATTTGCCTGTTCCGTAGCTCAGTTGGTAGAGCACCGGACTCCCCGCATTGTCTCCGCTTGCGTTTTGTCCGCCGGTCGAGCCGGAGAGAAAGTTACCGAGTGAAGGTCATTCAAATTTCTAAAACTCAATGACAAATGTCACTGGGGTCACCAAAATGTTTGAGTAGGTAGGTATAACATTCATTAACTGGGGGGGGGGAGGGATGAACTTATCTGTGCAATACGCTGTTCATTACGCGAGTAACTAATAAATAAAAAAGGTATGAGTTCATCCTTACTCCACCCGCTCTCCCTCTCCATAAAAAGAGAGTTTAAATGTGTTGAATTTTATTTATACCTATGCAGAAAAATAGAGACGTCTAAGGATATGGCCGAATATCAGCGACCCTTGCTGTGTAAGCAATGAGGTATGACAAGTGGGGGTAATGGCCCCGTCCAGCGCCCATGTGGTGCCCAAGTGGGCACCACTCGTGCGACCTGCCGACCACTGTTCTAGATAGAGCCATAAAACGCGTGAATGTTTTAAGCTTGACGATACGGATCGACTGGTATGCAACATGTTCTATTTCTGGTGAGGTCATGAACTTGACCTCAGGTAAAATTTTAAAATTATTTTTTTTTTTGTAAAATCAAATTATATTTCATTTATCGCATTATGATGAGACAAAAACTATATCCCGGAAATACCGCTGAGCTTAGGTTGAATCTGAAATCATTACTTAGAAAGAGTTATAAAAGAACCGTCGAACGTGTCTTTTTTGGTCATTAAATATCAGTAGGTATGCCGCCCCCTCAGATGCCAAGTGCCGCCCCTATGAGTGCAAAATGCCGCCCCTAATTGTGACTGCCGACCCAGTGAAAATCCCTTAAAATACGCCCTGGCGTAGACCCCGATCCCTACCGTCCGATCGCGCAATTCCGGGTATCGGGAGAATTTAGATGCCAAAGTTTAACGTGCCCTTCAAAGCCGGACACGGCCTGCCCCACTCAACTGACTTCAACTGGCTGCGGCTGCTCCCACCAACCGCAGACCATCCCCGTCAGGAGTCTCAAATATCGAGCGCCGGGGCGTCTCGAACCCGGGCTCTCACTACCGGGAGTCCAATGCTTTACCAACTGAGCTACGGGACAGGCAAATCTATACGAATGACAAGATTGCAGGTTTTAGAGGCATTAAAACTGAACTAAACATGACATTGTGACCTGACCTCAGGTGGCCTGTGCTTGATTTTTATGCACGATGCAAAAGTGATGTATGTAGTATGTACAATAAGATACACCGCTGCTTTCGTGGCGCTGCGCGCCGAGATTTTTCTCAACACATGAAAAAACCGGGAGTGTGGCTAATAACACCTCTACCCATCAAGACGAAGACCGGAAACCCGACCCCACCCCACTAAAAAATCCGTGGCGACGCCCCTGCCTCCTCCCCCTCCTGCAATTTAAGTAGCCGCTGCGAACACTAATTCGTGCAAGGGGTCATTTTCAATTTCAATTTCACTTCTCCTTCGGACGCCGCAGCACGCTACTTCCCGCCGCGCGGGGGGCCGAGGGACGCTACCTCCCGCCACACCGGATGACCATCGGGCCTGGGCGCCGCCGCGGCGGGCGATGGACGGCGCTACCTCAATTCAATCTCGAGAAAATCAATCACAAGCACACTGCCAAGTAGTGTACCAAGGTGGTCCAAATTTGTATCCGCCCCTCCTATTGGTCAACGTCACGGCCGCCACAGGGATGCATTACGTCATTCCCGTCTGCCAACGACCAATCACAGTATGGTACTTGCGTATTCATGGTCCCTTCAAATCCTGGGGCCGAACGTAACCTGGGCCCCTGTGTAACCTTGGTCCCAGTGTAACCTGGGTACAATTGTACTCTGGTACTTATGAACGTCACCCCCCGGAACCTGCAGAAAGGCGATACTTCAGTTTTTTACATTGAGGTAGCACAATTTTGATGATGCTTCACTGTTTCTCCTTGGTCAATTACATAAAAAACAGCTTCAAAACACTTTGATTCGCAACATTTACCGAAATATAATAAAGAAACCACCCTATCGTCAGCACGCTACGTCAACTGCCACGACGCAAAATGGCGACGCTGTTTTGCCTCTGATGCGCCAGATATGTAACCTTAAGTAATTGGATACGACTACTAAATACAATATGCCGATAATAGACTATTTTCCTCCTAGGGGACACTGGGAAATCGGGGTTTTCGGGTGAAGGTGATTGAGAAACGTGTTTGCTAGCGACGCGAACCAATGATGTGGCCTTGGCCACAAATAGGGGATATCTTAGGTAAGGGTAAATGGAAAAATGTTAGGTTAAAGAGTTCTGGAATTGTCTCCAGGCCGGCCGAAGGCCGGCCTGGAGACAATTCCAGAACTCTTTAACCTAACATTTTTCCATTTACCCTTACCTAAGATATACTCCTTTTCGTCCCTAGCGCACAAACCCCTGGAAACGTGGTAGGTTAGGTTAGGTTAGGTTAGGTTAGGTTAGGTTAGGTTAGGTTAGGTTAGGTTAGGTTAGGTTAGGTAAGGTTAGGTTAGGTTAGGTTAGGTTAGGTTAGGTTAGGTTAGGTTAGGTTAGGTTAGGTTAGGTTAGATTTGGTTTGAATCTAACCCCCCTCCCCCACCCAAAAACCCCGATTTCCCAGTGTCCCCTAGGATGAAAATAGTTCTTGTTTCAGGATATTGTATTTAGTAGTCGCATCCAATTCTTTTAAATTACATATCTGGCGCATCAGAGGCAAAACAATGTCGCCATTTTGCGTCTCTGCAGTGTGTGCGTAGCGCATCAAAGGTGGGGTGATTTCTTTATTATATTTCGGTAAGTGGTGCGAACTTAAGTGTTTTGAAACTGTTTTTGATGTAATTGGCCATCGAGAAGGAGAAACGATCATTAAAATTGTGTTTCTTTAATGTAAAAAACTGAAGTTTTACCTGCAGAAAGGTTGTATTCCTATCGCCATAATCGAGTGAGTAGTAATTTAATATAATTGCACTGCGCTAATTCCTATTGGAAAATGGAAGCCTTTTCTCTGCGATAAGTGGACGCTATACTGCAAGTACCGGCATGTTATACCATTCCTTGCAGTAACGAGGGCTGCATTGATACCCATATATGGTCATTAAAATTGTATCTATTGACCAATCAATTTTTGGATTTTGGCCTCGTAGTTTCCCCAACTGCTGTAGGTTGAGGTAGCCGGTAGGTACAGGTCTCGCGGGTTTTAGCGGTAGGTTTTGCACCTAGAAAATTTGGTGTATTTCAGGCTATATCTTCGTCATCTTAAGCTTTTAAGTGTTGAAGATGTGACTGACTTGTTGGGTAGCAAGCCGGCCATGATCGTGTAAAATGGCTTCATCGTAGATCGATTAGTTTCTGAGATATAACCGGAAATGTAAAAGTGCAAAACCTACCGCTTAATCTCGCGAGACCTGTACCTACCTAGCTATTCCGGAATCCGGCAAATCCCAACATGCATTTCAAGTCCCAACTCTGTACCTAGTTCTCACCTACTTTTTATCTTGCCTTAGCTAATTTTCTGCTGTTTTGAAAATATCACACCATCACATAAACATAAATAAGCATGACGTCTACGGCGACTGTCTTTCGATCGTATCGTGTGTCCAATGATCGTGTCGCCACGCGGCCACCGTACCGCACACTACCTACTACCTAGGTCAATAAACCGAGCACTCAATAGCCTGTTCAGCAAGTAAGCTTATGTATTTAAACTCAGCAGCTGATTGGACCAAAAACGCTAAAAATCGAAATTGCCTAGCAATTCGATGGGCAGGCAATATTTCCCGCAGGAACGGTAGCTATCGAACATAAAACATGTGACCGTCCCACGCCTGACCTTGTCGCAGTGGTTCTATAGCCTTGTCGCAGTGGATGTCCGTGAAGTTAGCGTCAGCAACAGCAACGAATACAGCGTCAGATTCAGAATCGCTTAAAAAACTCATATCTGGGCAATTGGGGGACGGGGAGCAAGAATATGACCTTTATTTGGCCCTAGCTCTTACCCCTTACCCCTTAATCGGCCCTTAAAGGAAGGGGCGCGTCAAAAGTGCCTCAAGGGCTCGTCTGATCGCCAAAATAAGGGTCGCAATCGATTCCCCGGGTCGATATCTAGCCGCAGCCTCGGGTTCCGGATGTGTGCAACTTACCCCTTACCCCTTAATCGGCCCTTAAAGGAAGGGGCGCGTCAAAAGTGCCTCAAGGGTTCGTCTGATCGCCAAAATAAGGGTCGCAATCGATTCCCCGGGTCGATATCTAGCCGCAGCCTTGGGTTCCAGATGTGTGCAACTTACCCCTTACCCCTTAATCGGCCCTTAAAGGAAGGGGCGCGTCAAAAGTGCCTCAAGGGTTCGTCTGATCGCCAAAATAAGGGTCGCAATCGATTCCCCGGGTCAATATCTAGCCGCAGCCTCGTGTTCCAGATGTGTGCAACTTACCCCTTACCCCTTAATCGGCCCTTAAAGGAAGGGGCGCGTCAAAAGTGCCTCAAGGGTTCGTCTGATCGCCAAAATAAGGGTCGCAATCGATTCCCCGGGTCGATATCTAGCCGCAGCCTCGGGTTCCAGATGTGTGCAACTTACCCCTTACCCCTTAATCGGCCCTTAAAGGAAGGGGCGCGTCAAAAGTGCCTCAAGGGTTCGTCTGATCGCCAAAATAAGGGTCGCAATCGATTCCCCGGGTCGATATCTAGCCGCAGCCTCGGGTTCCGGATGTGTGCAACTTACCCCTTACCCCTTAATCGGCCCTTAAAGGAAGGGGCGCGTCAAAAGTGCCTGAAGGGTTCGTCTGATCGCCAAAAAAGGGTCGCAATCGCTTCCCAGGGTCGATATCTAGCCGCAGCCTTGGGTTCCAGATGTGTGCAACTTACCCCTTACCCCTTAATCGGCCCTTAAAGGAAGGGGCGCGTCAAAAGTGCCTCAAGGGTTCGTCTGATCGCCAAAATAAGGGTCGCAATCAATTCCCCGGGTCAATACCTAGCCGCAGCCTCGGGTTCCAGATGTGTGCAACTTACCCCTTACCCCTTAATCGGCCCTTAAAGGAAGGGGCGCTTCAAAAGTGCCTCAAGGGTTCGTCTGATCGCCAAAATAAGGGTCGCAATCGATTCCCCGGGTCGATATCTAGCCGCAGTCTCGGGTTCCAGATGTGTGCAACTTACCCTTTACCCCTTAATCGGCCCTTAAAGGAAGGGGCGCGTCAAAAGTGCCTCAAGGGTTCGTCTGATCGCCAAAATAAGGGTCGCAATCGATTCCCCGGGTCGATATCTAGCCGCAGCCTCGGGTTCCAGATGTGTGCAACTTACCCCTTACCCCTTAATCGGCCCTTAAAGGAAGGGGCGCGTCAAAAGTGCCTCAAGAGTTCGTCTGATCGCCAAAATAAGGGTCGCAATCGATTCCCCGGGTCGATATCTAGCCGCAGCCTCGGGTTCCAGATGTGTGCAACTTACCCCTTACCCCTTAATCGGCCCTTAAAGGAAGGGGCGCGTCAAAAGTGCCTCAAGGGTTCGTCTGATCGCCAAAATAAGGGTCGCAATCGACTCCCAGGGTCGATATCTAGCCGCAGCCTCGGGTTCCAGATGTGTGCAACTTACCCCTTACCCCTTAATCGGCCCTTAAAGGAAGGGGCGCGTCAAAAGTGCCTCAAGGGTTCGTCTGATCGCCAAAATAAGGGTCGCAATCGATTCCCCGGGTCGATATCTAGCCGCAGCATCGGGTTCCAGATGTGTGCAACTTACCCCTTACCCCCTTAAGTTGCACACATCTGGAACCCGAGGCTGCGGCTAGATATCGACCCGGGGAATCGATTGCGACCCTTATTTTGGCGATCAGACGAACCCTTGAGGCACTTTTGACGCACCCCTTCCTTTAAGGGCCGATTAAGGGGTAAGGGGTAAGTTGCACACATCTGGAACCCGAGGCTGCGGCTAGATATTGACCCGGGGAATCGATTGCGACCCTTATTTTGGCGATCAGACGAACCCTTGAGGCACTTTTGACGCGCCCCTGCCTTTAAGGGCCGATTAAGGGGTAAGGGGTAAGTTGCACACATCTGGAACCCGAGGCTGCGGCTATATATCGACCCGGGGAATCGATTGCGACCCTTATTTTGGCGATCAGACGAACCCTTGAGGCACTTTTGACGCGCCCCTTCCTTTAAGGGCCGATTAAGGGGTAAGGGGTAAGTTGCACACATCTGGAACCCGAGGCTGTGGCTAGATATCGACCCGGGGAATCGATTGCGACCCTTATTTTGGCGATCAGACGAACCCTTGAGGCACTTTTGACGCGCCCCTTCCTTTAAGGGCCGATTAAGGGTAAGGGGTAAGTTGCACACATCTGGAACCCGAGGCTGCGGCTAGATATTGACCCGGGGAATCGATTGCGACCCTTATTTTGGCGATCAGACGAACCCTTGAGGCACTTTTGACGCGCCCCTTCCTTTAAGGGCCGATTAAGGGGTAAGGGGTAAGTTGCACACATCTGGAACCCGAAGCTGCGGCTAGATATCGACCCGGGGAATCGATTGCGAGCCTTATTTTGGCGATCAGACGAACCCTTGAGGCACTTTTGACGCGCCCCTTCCTTTAAGGGCCGATTAAGGGGTAAGGGGTAAGTTGCACACATCTGGAACCCGAAGCTGCGGCTAGATATCGACCCGGGGAATCGATTGCGACCCTTATTTTGGCGATCAGACGAACCCTTGAGGCACTTTTGACGCGCCCCTTCCTTTAAGGGCCGATTAAGGGGTAAGGGGTAAGTTGCACACATCTGGAACCCGAGGCTGCGGCTAGATATCGACCCGGGGAATCGATTGCGACCCTTATTTTGGCGATCAGACGAACCCTTGAGGCACTTTTGACGCGCCCCTTCCTTTAAGGGCCGATTAAGGGTAAGGGGTAACTTGCACACATCTGGAACCCGAGGCTGCGGCTAGATATTGACCCGGGGAATCGATTGCGACCCTTATTTTGGCGATCAGACGAACCCTTGAGGCACTTTTGACGCGCCCCTTCCTTTAAGGGCCGATTAAGGGGTAAGGGGTAAGTTGCACACATCTGGAACCCGAGGCTGCGGCTAGATATTGACCCGGAGAATCGATTGCGACCCTTATTTTGGCGATCAGACGAACCCTTGAGGCACTTTTGACGCGCCCCTTCCTTTAAGGGCCGATTAAGGGGTAAGGGGTAAGTTGCACACATCTGGAACCCGAGGCTGCGGCTAGATATCGACCCGGGGAATCGATTGCGACCCTTATTTTGGCGATCAGACGAACCCTTGAGGCACTTTTGACGCGCCCCTTCCTTTAAGGGCCGATTAAGGGGTAAGGGGTAAGTTGCACACATCTGGAACCCGAGGCTGCGGCTAGATATCGACCCGGGGAATCGATTGCGACCCTTATTTTGGCGATCAGACGAACCCTTGAGGCACTTTTGACGCGCCCCTTCCTTTAAGGGCCGATTAAGGGGTAAGGGGTAAGTTGCACACATCTGGAACCCGAGGCTGCGGCTAGATATCGACCCGGGGAATCGATTGCGACCCTTATTTTGGCGATCAGACGAACCCTTGAGGCACTTTTGACGCGCCCCTTCCTTTAAGGGCCGATTTAGGGGTAAGGGGTAAGTTGCACACATCTGGAACCCGAGGCTGCGGCTAGATATCGACCCGGGGAATCGATTGCGACCCTTATTTTGGCGATCAGACGAACCCTTGAGGCACTTTTGACGCGCCCCTTCTTTTAAGGGCCGATTAAGGGGTAAGGGGTAAGTTGCACACATCTGGAACCCGAGGCTGCGGCTAGATATCGACCCGGGGAATCGATTGCGACCCTTATTTTGGCGATCAGACGAACCCTTGAGGCACTTTTGTCGCGCCCCTTCCTTTAAGGGCCGATTAAGGGGTAAGGGGTAAGTTGCACACATCTGGAACCCGAGGCTGCGGCTAGATATCGACCCGGGGAATCGATTGCGACCCTTATTTTGGCGATCAGACGAACCCTTGAGGCACTTTTGACGCGCCCCTTCCTTTAAGGGCCGATTAAGGGGTAAGGGGTAAGTTGCACACATCTGGAACCCGAGGCTGCGGCTAGATATCGACCCGGGGAATCGATTGCGACCCTTATTTTGGCGATCAGACGAACCCTTGAGGCACTTTTGACGCGCCCCTTCCTTTAAGGGCCGATTAAAGGGTAAGGGGTAAGTTGCACACATCTGGAACCCGAGGCTGCAGCTAGATATCGACCCGGGGAATCGATTGCGACCCTTATTTTGGGATCAGACGAACCCTTGAGGCACTTTTGACGCGCCCCTTCCTTTAAGGTTCGATTAAGGGGTAAGGGGTAAGTTGCACACATCTGGAACCCGAGGCTGCGGCTAGATATCGACCCTGGGAATCGATTGCGACCCTTATTTTGGCGATCAGACGAACCCTTGAGGCACTTTTGACGCGCCCCTTCCTTTAAGGACCGATTAAGGGGTAAGGGGTAAGAGCTAGGGCCAAATAAAGGTCATATTCTTGCTCCCCGTCCCCCAATTGCCCTAATATGAGTTTTTTAAGCGATTCTGAATCCGACGCTGTGTTCGTTGCTGTTGCTGACGCT